ATTAGCCTTGCCTATTACTCATATGGCATAGTTAAGACATAATAGACAAACGTCAAATTTAATTACATCAATATACCTAATGTTATATACAAATATTTTTTAATTGCATGTTATTCACACAAAGGTTTATGTTGCGTGACCGTGTAACGCATTCTGATACTTACCATTTACGTTATTATATTAGGAGGAATTACCATTGATTGCATTTAGGCCTATACCGTACATGTCGGTAGTAGTCACTTGGATTATAATAACAGGCTACAGTAAAATTACATTGGAAAATTTTACGTCTGCCTTGTAAGGTATATTTAAGCATTACAATGTAATTCAGTAGGCCCAATGTGTAAGGCCTGGTTTCCATAAAAGCGCTACACTGTGTCTGTGCTTTCAGGGTTGCTCGGTTACCATAGAATCGCTCACCCTATCGGCGACGGTCGCCGAAAGTTGACGAACCTAGTTCAACTTTGCCGATTGCATTGCAGAAGAATCAGGGTGCATTGCTAGCTGCCCTGACGTAATCGGGAAGGCACCCCGATCGTCTGCAACGCAATCGGCTGTTGAACTATGTTCAACCTTCCCGCAACTATCGGCGATTGTTGCCGATAGAGTGAGCGATTTTTAGACAACCTTACGCCTACATTTCTGTCACAACATAGGCGATTTGCAATGAATTAAGGATCATATGCAGCTCCTACAGCATATTGTCAAAAATGTTCAGACACGAATGATAATAATGATAATGACGTACATTCGTATTCGTTATCGTTTTCTTAAGGTTGCGAAATCTCCGTAATATTCGTGGAAAGGAACTGGTTTACCCTACCACACGTACAATGCCGAGGCTTAGTACGATGGGCTAACAGCTCATTTTCCCCTATAGAAGTTCAGTAATGATACTAATAATACTACCTTTAATAGAATACAATGTAATTTTTAAAAGAAAAGTGATTATAATATTCTTAAACACTTTACGTATTCAAGTATTATAAATACGTAAGCGAAATATATGCAATTTGAGTGTGTAATAAAATGAATTTTTATGTGATTTTTATATTGTTAAATATTTTATCCAGTCTTTTCATTGTGTGATGTACGCGGAATATATGTAATTTGAATGTTGGGTTACTGTAATCAAGTGTAATTTTAAAAAGAAAGTAATTGTTTATAATATTGTACTCATTTTAATTTTATTCATGTTTGTAATAGGCCTACTAGTTC